CAACAGACCCCAGTGTGTGATGCTCCCCTCCCTGTGTCCATGTGTTCTCTTTGTTCAACAACCACCTATGAGTGAGGCCATGCAGTGTTTGATTTTCTGTTCTTGTGTCAGTTTGCTGAGAATGATGGTTTCCAGATTCATCCATGTCCCTACAAAGGACGAGAACTCATCGTTTTTTATGAGCAGCATAGTATTCCAGGGTGTATATGGGCCACATTTTCCTTGTCCAGTCTATTGTCGATGGGCATGTGGGTTGGTTTCAGGTCTTTGCTATTGTAAACAGAGCCATAATGAACATACTTGTGCATGTGTCTTTATGATTCTGCCCAGCCATCTTTTTAAAACAACTGGAACTGTGATAGTTTTTTCAGTAAACAGTTAAGTCATGGTCTCCTTCAATTATAAGGGGTTGAAACATTATTAACATTTGCTAAAATAAAATAAGAAATGTTACTAACACCAGACAAGTCCAGTGATTGAATAGGGTTCAAAATTCATAAGCTTCAATTATGGTATAAATACTCCCAAGCTTTCTCTTGTCCATACTTGTTCATGTCAAGAATAAGCTCTCTTCATTTTGTGAGATGATGGCTATTGTCAGGCCAGCAATTATATTTTAGAAGCTTAGCAAATTAAGTTTGGCCCGCTGTTACCCATACAAGCTGGCTCTGTGTACACTCTGTAAGATTCTGTTAGCCTTTGAACAATTCTGTTGCTTTGTGACACAAAAAATACCCCAGGCTTAATTCATGTTTCCCCTGCCACAGAACTGGAATCAGCCATACTTCCAATAAGTCCTGGTTCCATTTAGTGGGCAATGACATTAAGAAACTAAGTTGCCAAAATAAGCTTGTTTCAAAATTTAGCACATTTTATTTAATCAGAAAAAGCACATATCTTATTGTTCAAGTTCTCAAAACATAGCTACCTTTCCCTTTCTGCCTGTTGGTTCCTAGCAAAGACCTGGAACCAACCGAAAGCACAAGACAGCATATTGAGGTTATCAGAGTAGAAGGAGGAAGTCAGAGTCTCCAAAGTGGAAGACATCAGCAGAGCACTGTATGTCCCAGGTTGAATGGCAGCTCAAGAACACTGTGGAGAGTTAATAAAGTTTCAGGGCAGCTAGACTCCTAATGACATCTGCACAGTCTATTTTTTCATGTAAGGTAACATCTTGCAAGCTATGGTAGTCCGTGTTGCAGGAATTAGTACAGAGTCATATCTTGGGGCCATTATTCCATTTACACAACCATGCAATAACCATATATGAAAAAGGCGGCTGGGAAACCCTATATCAGCCAAGGTCAATTATTTTCAATGGCATTTTGTTTTTAACAGTTAGATAAGAAAAAGACTATAAACAACCAATAAAGAACTGCCAAGCAAAATATTGGAATAAAAAACAGGGATTTAGGGATACACAAGGCATATTCTATTGGGATTTGGTATTTGCTCAAGTAAACTGTGATCAAACCATTAAAGTGCCAATAATGGTACATAAAACTAGCTAGTTTAAAAATATTTATGAGATTATTCATTAGAAAATATTTCAAATTTATTTTTGTGTATGCTTGATTTATTCAGATTATTTCTTTTGTCTTGAATGTCAATTATTTACTTTACATAACAATATATAATTTTATAAACTAACCATTAGTGAAAGATGATAAATGAGAAAACTACACACATAGCCATATACATATCTATTTCTAATTGAATGAGAAGATATTCATAATGAGTTAGTATTTATGAACATATTAGTGATGCAGTTGTGTATAATGGAAAGATTCAAAAAACGTAGAAGATGAGTTTTTAAAAAAATCTTTGATATTTAGTTACTCTTTTGTAAAATTGAGAGTAATGGCTTTTTAATATTCCCTTCAACATAACATTTAGTAGTTGTATCCTGTTTGGGTGTTTCACATATCTACTTTTTTTTTGAGATGGGATTTCCTCTGTCACCCAGGCTGGAGTGCAGTGGCATGATTTCAGCTCACTGCAACCTTCACCTTCTGAAGTGAAGTTCAAGTGATTCTACTGCCTCTGCCTCCCTAGTAGTTGGGACTATAGGCTTCCACAACTGCACCTGGCTAATTTTTGTATTTTTAGTAGAAACAGGATTTCACCATGTTGGCCAGGCTGGTGTCGAACTCCTGACTTCAGGTTATCTGCCCACCTTGGCCTCCAAAAGTGTTGTAATTATAGATGTGAGCCACTGCATCTGGCCCACTTATCTACTTTTCATACATCATTACCATTTTTTTATTTTACAAAAAGTAATTAAATATGTTGCATTTTAATTTTGTTACTTGAAGAAATTTTTTGTGACTTAAATGTGAAAGATCTTCATATTCTGTATTATAAATATTATTAGACTTATTACTATTAAATAGCAAAATTAAAACTTATATTCCTAATTAAACAAATTAAATAGTTTACTGTATAAGTAACTTCATAGGATTTTTTTATTACAATCCCGAAGAGATTCTCATATAAAATTTCACCTTGCTGCACAGTTTCCCAATTTGTCTGAAGTGTCTTAGATATATTTGTTGGGTATAAATAATTAGTTCATATGTTTTCTTGAGGGCAAGAATATATTTTATACCCCTCTGTATATGAAACCCCTTTCATCTTATTTTTATATAACACACATTAAATTTGTTTCTGCAATTAAAATTCACATATGTTCGTTTAATTTTATTTTTGGAAACAGAATGTCATATTCCAATTTTAGAAGCAAATATAGATGCTCACCCAAAAAAGGAAAGATACAAAATTGGAGATGTGTTGAAATTCTCTTGCAGACAAAATCTTACAAGAGTTGGACCAGATTCAGTTCAATGTTACCAATTTGGGTGGTCACCTAACTTTCCAACATGCAAAGGTCAGTATTTATTTTAGAAGTATTGAAACAAGAATCTGATTTTTATAATAATGCCTATATGTTTCTATTGGAGCTTATATTACATCTATAATCTGACAAAGTGGGAAAATGGCAAAGTAGTATTTTCTTTAGGAAGGAGAAAGGGTGCAAGTCTATAGTAATTGAGTTACATAGATTATTTAGGCGTCCTTAAGGAGTCATTCTACTTCTGTGTTTTAAAATACATGATGGGACTTTATAGGTCAAAATATAGTAGCTGCAACTGAGAAGTGTTAGGATTTTTCCATCTATCTCAATAAAAAATTCATGCTTCTAAAAAATATTGTATGAACAATGTTACAGTTTATTAAGCAATTAAGGAAATAATTAAGTCATTGCATATATGAATTATTTATTAGAAAACAATGATGATTTGTACCTGCTTCAGATGGCACTATTTTTATCTAAAATGGCTTATGATATTATTTGAAGTATGTATTAGTCCATTTTCACACTGCTGATAAAGACATACCCAAGACTGGGCAACTTACAAAAGAAAGAAGTTTAATGGACTCATAGTTTCACGTGGCTGGGGAGACCTCACAATCATGGCGGAAGGTAAAAGTCACATCTCGAATGACAGCAGACAAGAGAAGGGAACTTGTGCAGCGAAACCTCCTTTTATAAAACCATCAGATCTTGTGAGACTTATTCACTATCACAAGAATTGCATGGGAAAGACCTGCCCACATGATTCAATTACCTCCCACCAGGTTCTTCCCACAACAACTGGGAATTGTGGGAGCTACAAGTCAAGATGAGATTTGGGTGAGGACACAGCCAAACCACATCAAAGTATTTATAGATATTAATAACAATTATAACTATGCATTGTATATGTATATTATGCCACATATTTGGTAACTATTTACTTTTATATAACATTCAGATTATTGACGTACTTAAACATCTTCAAGGGTACAGCTTAATATCCTTATTATAATAAACAGCCTACAAAATATTGGGAAAGATAGGCTATCAGGATGTTTAAATATAGAGAGAATAGAAGATTGTACTAAGAAAATATTAATTTGGTGAAATGTAAGATTTTTGTATATGTAGGCAACTGTCTTTAAGAGATAAACATTCTGAAGAATTTAGGACTAAAATCTCACTCATTTACTTTAAATTACTTCACAAAAATAAGTAAATAGGGCAAAGTGTAACATTTGTATATCTAGGTAATCAGTTTACAAGTGTTCATTCTGCATTCTTTTCCCTTTCATTTGCTCAAAATTGTTCATCATAAAAAGTGTCAATATTTTAATAAATGAATACAGTCAACACACTATGTACATTGCAAAAAACACACCCTCCCGAAAATAGGAATGCAATATAGTAACTCCACATTTTGCTATACGACCATTTAAACATTATTTACGGTTTCTTTATAATAGGACAAGTACAATCGTGTGGTCGACCTCCTCAACTCTCCAATGGTGAAGTTAGGGAGACAACAAAAGAGGAATATAGACACAGTGAAGTGGTGGAATATGATTGCAATCCTAATTTTATAATAACAGGGCCTAAGAAAATACAATGTGTGGATGGAGAATGGACAACTTTACCCATTTGTGTTGGTAAATAATTATCATGTAAACAGAACAGTTACTATTATTTTGCACTTATATATGCATACACATGTAAATAGATTTAAAATATTTTCAGGGTATACATTTATTTTATTACCTTTTCTTAGAACAAGTGAAACCATGTGGATATATACCTGAGCTCGAGCATGGTTATGCTCAGCAGTCTGTCCCTCCCTATCAACATCGAGTTTCAGTGGAGATGAACTGCAATAATGAATATACCATGATTGGAAATAACATGATTACCTGTATTAATGGAATATGGACAGAGCTTCCTCTGTGTGTGGGTGAGAAAACATTGTTAAACTTCATATTTGATTATTTATAATTTTGATTAGGATTGCATAAAGTGTATAAATCTGGCTAGAATTGCAATTTATTGATACTGACTTTTCCTTTCACAAAAATATATGTCAACCCATTTATTCAGGTTTTATATTAAACTTTGCCATATGATTTTATGAATTTCTTGTAATTACTTCACAAATTTCTTCGCCAGTTTATTTGGGATTTTTCAGTTATGATGAATGGAAACTTTTATTAACTTATGTGCTTGAATAGTTATACTTTCTATATACAAGAATGTGATTTAATTGCATATATTAATTTTGTTTCCAGTAACCTTGTTCAATTCCTGTATTAGTTGTAATATTGAATTTGCAGACTGTATTTCTACAAATAATTGGAATCTAATTTCTTTTATTTCCTTGCTTTAACTCAGTTTTTAACTCGGCATGTTCAAGATAGAACCACCTAAATAATAACCACGTAGCTTGATTTCTATTAAATTTCATCGTGTTTGGAGTCTTTCCTTAGGAGAAGAGTAGGGGACTAGGACCCAGGAACTAGGCATGATCCCTGCTCTTTCTGTCCCCGTAATTCTCTTTAGTCCTAATTTTCTGATTAGTTTGTCTGTTTCCTCCACAAAAGTAGTAAAATCCATTCCAGGTTTTTCCTCCAGTCTATCAGTCTGTGTGGTCTCCTCTCACCTTGCAGCCTCAGGACTTCCAGCCTTGACACTTCAGTGCCTGCAGGGTTTTTCCCTCACCCTCAGATCGTGGCCTCTTTTGTCCTATCTCTAGCGACCTCGATACATTAAGTCTCTAATTTTGAACTTCGAAGACAAGCAGACTTTCCGCTGCTGTTCTTCTCCTTACAGAAACTTAAACGGAACCGCCTCTCTCTCCATCTCTGGGAATTTTGGATTATCAATTGGCCCACCCATTGCCGGGAAAAATTACTGTAGGTGTCACCACCCGTTGTGCCAGGCAAATGGGTGGTTAGCTGCCATCCGTAATGAACTATTGTGAGAGAATGTCTTCCGCTACCAGGGGCCAGAATTCTGTTATGAGAAGACGTAGATCATATATCTTCATGGTCACCAACTTTTATGCAAGGAGTACACAAACATCCAACCTCTAGCCCCATATGGGATAAATTAGAAATAGACACGATTGCAGGAAAACACTTACAAACACAGAAGTAGCAGAGCACACTCCATGTCTCATTATCCCATCCTTTTACACACTAAGGGAAAAGCTCCATAACTGTCTACATATTTATGGGAAGCAAGGAAGGAGCGTAATAATAAGAACCACTTACACAACCTAGAGACTTACTGGAAATGTATGTTCAGAGCTAAGTGGAGTTATTATCAGTGAACTCTTTCCCTGGAATACTGTGACTGAATCAGAGTTTTTGCTGCATTTTTGAAATGTGGGAATCATTGAGCCTCAAGGGGCATCCAGATTTATCTCTTACTAGTGCTTTGCTTTCTACAGACTTACTTATGTATTGCCTCTTTTTGTTATTTAAATGTTTTGAAGATATTTTTTATTTAAGATGGCTTAGTGCAAAACAATTATATATGTGTACATTTTTGGAGTCTTTAAAAATTCATTTGTAGTTTCGTAAGAACTATCCTTCAGTCAAAACTCCCACCAAGAAAACCCATCTTGCACTTTCATTTCCCAGAAAACTTTCTGACATACTTTTGTGTCATTTAAAGATAGGATACAGTTTTTTGTTTTCTTTTTCCTTTTTTTAACAGCATTGCCCATTTTATGCAATAAGAAGATCAAGAATAATTTTTGTGATGTTGCTTAAAAGCATCAATTTAATTATGCTATTAATATTTCAGATATTTTATTAGCATAATTGTTTAATTTCTATTTAATATTATTCTGTGTAAATTGTTTTTATAGCAACACATCAACTTAAGAGTTGCAAAATAGGAGGAGCCAATATAAGAACGTTCTTCAGACTATTTGGGAGGGAATTGAATCACAATGCTGCAATACGTTACAGATGTTTAGGTATCCCCGGACACAGGCGCTCAGTCTGCATAAACGGGAAATGGAATCCTGATCTAGACTGCACAGGTAAGGGTTGTTTAAAACATTTTGTTGATCCTGTTGCTTCTTTACAAGAAAAAATATTTTGAAATTAGAATGTTTTTAAATTAAGTATTTATTGTGGCATATAATTTCTAAGCTAATAGTAAAGTTTGAAACTATTTATAATATTCTTTCCAGACAAATATTATTATTCTTTAAAAGCCTTGACTTGGCTGGGCACAGTGGCTCATGCCTGTAATCCCAGCACTTTGGGAGGCTGAGGTGGGCGGATCATCTGAGGTCGGGAATTCGAGACCAGCCTGACCAACATGCAGAAAGCCCGTCTCTACTAAAAAATACAAAATTAGCCAGGCTTGGTGGCACATGCCAGTAATCCCAGCTCCTCAGAAGGCTGAGGCAGGAGAATCGCTTGAACCCAGGAGGCAGAGGCTGCAGTGAGCCGAGATCTCACCATTGCACTCCATCCTGGGCAACTGGAGCCAAACTCCA